GGGGTAACGGATTGAAATTGGTTCCATGCAACTTGCCCAGACAGAGCTCTAGCACTCTCCCGCCCCAGCCCTGCACCCATGGTGGTGTCTAGCTCCTTCCGAATATGAGTGATTTTATCTGCAAAAAACTTTGCAAAATCGTTGCAGGAGATCTTGGGGTCTTTACAAGGCCCCGGTGTTAAAGGTGGTTCCATTAAATTGCGGACCACCTGAAAGAGTCTCCTGCTACTATTTTCTGCAGATGCAATAGAGGCGGTGAAGAAAGTCTTCTTCGCCGTCGCTATCGCCACTTGGTAGGCTCGACGTTGAGCTCTAACCTGTGTCCGGTCAGATTCGGAGTGAGTTTTCTGCCACCGACGCTCTAGCCGTCTCAGCGATTGTTTCATCGCCCTCAGCTCCGAAGAAAACCACGGGGCTGTCCGGGCTCCATGCAATCGGAGAGGGCGCTTCGGAGCCAGACAGTCGATAGCCCTGGTTAACTCCACATTCCAGCGGGCCACCAGGGAATCAGCTGAAAGGCCATCAACATGGGATAAAGCATCCCCTACCACTCTCTGGAAACCATTTGGATCCATTAAGTGGCGGGGGCGGACCATCCGAATTGGTCCCACCTCCCTGCAGAGGGGAAGGGTCGCGGAGAAGTCCAGTTGCACCAGGAAGTGATCTGACCATGGCACTTCTTTAGTTTCACTTTTACTTAGTGTCAGATCACCCACGTCACTAGAGGTGAATACCAGATCTAAGGCATGTCCATGGCTATGAGTTGGGCCCAACTTATTCAGGGACAGCCCCATGGAGGCCATGCTTTCCACGAAGTCCCGAGCGGCCCCTTGTAAGGTCGTGTCGGCATGGATGTTAAAATCCCCTAGGACAACCAAACTAGGTGTCTCCAGGAGAACATCCGCCACGACCTGAAGCAGCTCGGACAGGGAATCCTTGGTGCAGCGGGGAGGTCGGTACACCAAAAGGAATCCTGTACTGCCCCTATTGCCCAACTTCCAGAACATGCACTCAGAAAACTGGGTCTTCCCAGTAGGACGCCTGATGCAAACTAATGACTTCCTAAAAATCACTGCAACCCCCCCCTCCCCGCCCACATGACCTGGGTTGCTGTGCGTAAGAGAAACCTGGTGGGCAAGCGGCAGCAAGGACAAGCCCATCCGCTTCATCCAACCAGGTCTCTGTCACACATGCCAGGTCAAATCCTCCATCCACAATCAGGTTGTGGATGGCAGTGGTTTTATTCATCCCAAACCATGCAAATCCCTATTGACGTGGTTCCAAGAAGACTGAATAAGAACTCTGGGAGGCATGCTGATCATTGATGATGTAAACTGTGGATATGTGCAGAACTTTTACTAGCATAATCTAAGCCAGAACCAATCTCTTTCCCGGCTCCCCAAAATCGACGTTATTCATTGGTCACAGTGGCAATTTTCTATTGTATTTCCCACGGTGGTGAATTTCTGCAAATGAGGCTTGCCCCTGGAAATACAATAAGAGTCATTTGTCATTTTGTTAAGGAATGGCCACATCCAAAAATATGCAGCCTGAGTCGATGCATGCTTACTTAGGAGGAAGTCCAGCAGAAGTAAATGGAATTGACTGCCAAGTAATTCACGTAAAATGGGTACACTGTAGGAGTCTGTTGGCTATTTGATGTCCTTGAACATATTGACATCACTGCTATTAAGGAATGAACATGATATTTTCATATATTTTGTTTCAGTTATTACCTCATTTGTCATACAGAACACGTTGCCTTGACATTAATTTTCTTTCATTTAGTTATTTCCCACCTTGATTTACTGGGTATATTTAAGCTGTCCATGTACATTGATGTTTTTATTGAACTGTATGAAAAATAAGACTGGACATAGATGGAGGGAGTTGTACTATTAAGTTTCCTGATCAAGGGATCCAAATCTTTTGTTTTGTTTTTTGGAGATGGAGCAGTATGTAAATCTTAGTTGCAAAAACTGTATTTTATTTTTTTGGTCTACAATTAAAAACACATGTGATGGAATATGAACTTCAAATGAGAAATACTTTCCAGGTAATGAAATTGGTAAACCCCACTCTGCATGCCAGAAAGACAGTGTGTGTTGTGTGGAAGTGGGTTATTTGGTAAGAGATTAGAAGGTGTTTTGTGTTTCATGGGTTGCACCACTGATTTAAAAAAAAATAAATGCCTTTCCCCACAAAACTAGCGCATGTAAAATGCTATTCCTAATACTGGACCATCTAAAAAGAGTAATAAGGATATATTTTTAAATACATGAAAGGGAGAGTGTTTAATTACAGCTTTGCACTTCAATCCAACATGTGTATCAAATTATATCACACTGGTTTCAGTTGTACTGACCTTGTGTAAACAGGTTTGGGCTGGGGTGCTAAACATGGGAGACATATTTTCAAATCCTCACTCTAAAATGAAGGATCGTGAGGGCAGCACCTCCCTTTTTCGAATGGGAATAACAGTGACCTTCTTCACAGCTTTAATAAGCTCCAAACAGATCGATAAGCTGCTCACTAAAGTTACCAGTTTGAAATCTCATGCTAGAGCTTCACAGATCTCAGGTTTTGGTCAGAGCTTATACTGGGCTGGGGAGAAAGACTCCCAGTTTGTGTGAATATACATGGATACGGAGATTAAATCATTTACTTACAACAAAATTGTTTACTTACAACAAACTATCTGACAACATTTATATAAACCAATCCTTGAATATATTTTTCAGTGAGGCTAATTGGGTCCCTCCTGAACTGATGTATGCCCCCCAAAAGAATCTCTCAGTTTCAAAGGCCTTTAGTAGTATCTGCACATACAATTTTTTTTAAAAAAAGTTATTTTCCATAATCATGAGGACTAGAAATTTCCTTTCAAAATAAATCTAAAGACATTATTTTTGCCTTGTGCGTCATGAATGCAGTCATGCAGATTTTCTGTTTCCTTTACACTCTGACCTTAATTAATATATCCTGCTCCCTGTCCAATTTTAACAAGAGCAGTTCATGCCTCACCCCAAGACATTGAAACTGAACACTTTGTTTATGGAAACACTGCTCCAGTTCTGAGCATATGAGGGACGTTTTCCTGCTACGTTATGTAGTCATCAAAGGTCTCTTTTACATAGCAACCATTTTAAAAAGTATATCCAAAATGGATCATGCAACTCTTATCTTCTCTAACAAGAGTGTTTTATTACATGCAATCACCCCAAGTGGCTGAATTACAAAACCATTACAAAGCAGCATGGCTAGCTAATAAATTTATTTTTTTAAAAAAAATGATATCAGCAATGCATAATGGAGGCTTGACATTCAGTTAGTTTGATTTTATGGAAGGTTTGCATACAAAAGAAAACCCAGAATTGTGTCACTTGTCTCCCAAATAAATAAATAAACCTTGCCAGAATTGGCATTCAGTTTTATTTCCTTTGCTTGGTAGCCCAGTAAACCTAAATCAGGTTGGGCAAAGAGTGTTCGTCACCGGACATATTGTCAGAAATATTCCAAATAGAGCGGCTGGGTTGTTTTGGGGCAGTATTAGAAACTGAGGTATGAAAGCTAGGAGCTAAACGGCACCTTAAACCTAGGTTATAGGTGCACATTTTTACAACAAGAATATAAAGCTGAAAATGAATGAGTTGCAGCTAAAATTTTACTTTAATTTTTGAGGCCGCCGAGAGCGAAACGCTATCTTTCCAGAAGGCCAGCTGAGAGGCAGAACCTATCGGCTTGCCTGACGCTGCAGTGATCTCTTGGAAGTTAATCTGAAATCTTAGGCGCAGTACTGTGCCCAGAACTCAAAAACTCCTAACGTTTATGAAATTCCCTGTTGTGAAACATGCCCTGTCTGTTCAGTGACACTGTGCCCTTGGTCACGCAAATACATGTATCCCACCCAAACATATTTCTTAAGATCTTGAGCCGAGTCATGACACATGCTAACATAGGAGCCAACTCCTAGGGGCCAAGATCACTTCAGCCCCCCTAAAAAAACCAAAAAACATTTGAGAGGGTCAGCACCCCACCCCATGCAGTTTATAGGCATTGCCATTCAAATGGAGTGTGTGTGCCAAGTCTTGTGATCAATTATGTGGGGTTGGGCTTATCTGCCCTCCCTCCAATATTTTATTCAAGTTTGCATGCTATTATTAAGGGGAGGGAAATAGCAATAGAGCACAGACTCCACCCTGGGTGAAAATCAAGGGTTTGTAATATTTACTACAAAATATAAAAGTGGTTAATAGGTATCTACTGCTATACATGCGGTAGAGAGACAGACCCCACCTTGTCTGGACTTGTCAGCTCACTTGAACAATTCTATGGAGACAGGCGGATGAAATGACTGGGTTAAGTACTTAATTCGTTCTGGAGGTCCGTACTTAACCTGAAACTGTTCTTAACCTGAAGCACCACTTTAGCTAATGGGGCCTCCTGTTGCTGCCGTTCCACCGGAGCACGATTTCTGTTCTTCATCCTGAAGCAAAGTTCTTAACCTGAAGCACTATTTCTGGGTTAGCAGAGTCTGTAACCTGAAGCGTATGTAACCTGAAGCGTATGTAACCCGAGGTACTACTGTATAAGGGAGGGGTAAGCAGCACTAGGGATCCGGCAGGCTGCAGTGGAGACCTAGATACAACAGGGAAGACTCAAAAAGCAAAGGGCATGAGGTTGGGCCAGGAAACCACAGAGCAGTAACTTAAAGGAGAGAAGACACGGCTTCATGTTCTCTTTAGGTTCTTGACTTGTCCAAAGAATTAAACAAACACAGAGTGGAGGCAAGAATGAGAGGCAAAGGAAGTAGGGAAATCGAGATGCAACAGTTTGGAAATATTGTACCTAAAACACAGAGAAAGAGCTTGAATGTTGTTGTTGGCCTTCTGAGAAAGAGAGGGCGTGATGGAGCAGAAGGGGGTCATCTCTTAAATGGGAATGAAAGCTGGAGCAGGCAGTTTTCAAGATCTAATCTGGCATCTCCTCTTTTCTTCCAGGTAAAATGTGAGGCTAAATTGCCTTTGCACAAAACCAAAAATAACAACAGCAACTGTAAAAAGGGCTCAAGCGAGGATAAATCAAAGGTTTCTGTAGGTGAAGAATGCAGAGCGGATGAACAGGCATTCCTTGTGGCACTTTATAAATATATGAAAGAAAGGAAAACACCAATTGAACGAATACCCTACCTTGGTTTTAAGCAGAGTAAGTAGAATTTTCATTGCATTTTTGGTTTGACATTTTAGAACAGTTTGGCTTCTGGGGTTGATCGGCTTGATAAGGTGGGACAATTTTGTGGACAGATATGGCCCTCTTTAGCTTTCTCTTTGTCTCTTCTTTTGCACTGTACATTTACTATAAAACTAATTGTCAGGATCCAGAGCTTTATAGGCATTGAGATTTCCCCTCCCACCCTTTGAGCAGAAACCCCACCACCAATGCCATAAAGCAAATGACTTTTAAAAGTCTTCTCAGTTTTCAAAGTGGTTTGCCGTGTGGATTTGGGAGGCGTGGGGGGGACGGGACGACGATGCTGTTTGAGAAACAGTATCCCAAAGCTCCCATAGGCACAACGAGGAGATCTTTGTATGTCAGCCAGTAAAAACCTTAAAAAGGAAAACACATACGTACATACATGCACACTGGGACCTTTGAAACGAGAGTTGTTGTCATTGTGTTTATATCCACCAATACATTTTTCCATCCCCTATCTTGCAGTTTCTCTTCGTTTTGGGCAACTGCTGGTGGAAATTTATAGTTTTAAAATACACTGCTTGCGATCAGAACCTGGCATGTTTAAAAAGGTTCCTGCTCTCCCTCTCCTTTTGATAAATACTGCAGCTAATGTCTTCCCTTGAATTAATAATACGACATACTTTTATTGTACCCAGATGTTCCTTCGGGGGGGGGGAGTCTCACAGATATAAAAGGAAGGCATCTAAAGGTGGCCAGAAAGTAGGTGAAGGAGGTCACAGAGTATAAAAATAGACAGGATCTGTTTAAAGACATCATAGCACAATGCTAAGGATTGCTTTGGAAAGAGCACTTTTTGAGTCAGTGCTTATAAAAGCAACAATTGATAGAGAACATGCAACTGTAATTAAATTTTGCATAAACATTCTATAGCATGGAAGAATGAACATCGCAAACGATGAAAGGTGTGCTTTTAATAGCCTGTAAGGTATCTAAATTATTATAAAGGGAGGAATGCCTTACATGGAAATATGACTTTCTCAAACCTATCTTCCCAGATTAAATGTGTATGTTATTTTGATGAAGAATGTCAAACCTCTATGTTTTACATAACAATTTACATACCTAATAGCAATTGACACTGATTGCAACAGACCTCTAGCAGTCATTATAAACTTATATAACTCCAAAATGATTACAATGTTTGCCTGAAAAACCGGCTGCTTGAAATAGAAGTAAAATTAATGTACTATGAACAGCTTTGTTGCATTATGCATTTGATTCCGATTAAATCAAGGCCCGAGCAAAGCTCTTGATAGCTCAGGGAGAGTGGAAGGTTCAGTGAAGCTTTTTATTTAGAACATTTTGAGATGGTGTGTGTGTGTGTGTGTGTGTAATGTTAATTCCCCCCCCCCTTATTTGTCACTAACAAAGAGGCACATTTTTAAAAGCAGGTATTTATTGGGTCTCAATTTCCCAGCGTTGCCATGAGATCACTCTGCAACATGTAGCTGAGATAAACTGACTTGTTTGATATTCAGCAATGTGCCTCATGTTTCCTCTGAGCAAGATTACTCAGGAGTAACTGAGCTGCTCATATAATGGCCAGGAGTAGTCGCTGTGTTTGTCTACCTTGACATGTGTAAACACATGAGTAGGAAGAACCAGTTTAAATAATATAATTCCTCTGTTGCTGAATAAGTACAGTGAATGTTCTTTGCTGTGCTGTGTGGTTCAATAATGAGTACTACTCCCTGGGGAACACCCATAATTTATGTAATATTTTGGAGGCAATTCATACAGCACCATTATGAGAAGCTCTTTGATGGGGTAAAGGGAGCAAAAAAAAATAAAAATGCAGTCGAACCTATTTTACTGCATTCTGTAGTTCTCTCATTACAGAGGATTCTAAAAGTGCTTGGCCCCTTTCCCCCTTTAAACTTAAAAGGAAACCTTTATTAATCTTTTATAGACAATTGGATGAAAGTGCAGATATACGGACAATTTAAAAATAAGTCATGATCATATAGGGAGGTATAATCACATCAAAATATATTTATTTATGTCTATCTCTCTAGCTAAGCTCTTTGACATGAGTTCAATAGCCAACAAATGGCATCCACTTCATGTGGAATGATGGAATTTGCACCCTTCCTTAGCTCGTAATGTTAAAGATATCCAAGCTTTAGTTAGGCATTCTGAAATGTCCACAACCATTGGTATTTTGGATGCTTGAGGATGTTTGTGCCAGCGTAAACCAAAATTCTGCAAACCATCCCATCTAACCATGTCAGTCAAATTTGATCCATTAGAGACTTAGTTTGGCACCAATCAACAGCAGGGATGGTTTGAAACAACCAGCGCAGAGACAGCTGTGCATTTTATGCTAGTTGCAAAATAGGGATGATAGCAGGAAACAGGCAATGCACTCCTGGTGGCAGATGTTATGTACAAGACACCCATGCCTGGGATCTGGACCATGGGGCTATAAATGTTCCCACCAGTGGAAGTTCCCCATAGGGCTTCCCCTACTTTCAAGAGTTTCATAGACAAGTGCAGGGGCAGCATGACTTTGCAAGGAACACACCTGGCTATTGGGGTGGCGCTGTGGGTTAAATCACAGAGCCTAGGACTTGCTGATCAGAAGGTTTGCGGTTCAAATCCCTGTGACGGGGTGAGCTCCTGTTGCTCGGTCCCAGCTCCTACCAACCTAGCAGTTCGAAAGCACGTCAAAGTGCAAGTAGATAAATAGGTACCGCTCCGGCGGGATGGTAAACGGCGTTTCTGTGCGCTGCTCTGGTTCTCCAGAAGCGGCTTAGTCCTGCTGGCCACATGACCCGGAAGCTGTACGCCGGCTCCCTCAGCTAATATAGTGAGATGAGCGCCGCAACCTCAGAGTCGGCTACGACTGGACCTAATGGTCAGGGGTCCCTTTACCTTTACCTTTACCTTTAACACTTTTGGAAGTCCACGTAAGACAGTGCATGATCTGTGAGATGTGCACCAAGACCTCTTGAGGTGCTTTAGACTCTGAGAAAGCTGGGGTGCAGTTGTATGGGAGATACGGTCGCTCTGGGTGCATCTTGATATTCCTCACCCTGCAGGCTACATTCATGACGAAATGAGCTGCTCCACTTGTAGAAGCTTGTTTCCTCATGTGGAAGAGGATATCTGGATCCCAGCCAAGGTCTCTTATCTGAGTGGCAGTAAATACTTGTTTAATCAAGGACTGCTTTGTGTATGCACTCCAGTTTCCTGCTACATTAACTAAATGACATTTTAAAAATAATGCTCTTTCTAATAACTATGTTAGTTTTATATAGGAACATATAATGCAAAGCTTATTTCGTATGTTTTGTTTTTTATGCTGTTTGTTTTATATCCTGGAAGTGAATTTAAGCTCAGTAAAAAAAAAAAATATTTTATATCTGTAACTGTATCTCAGAGAAATGTTTTCCCTTGTGATTTTAAGAAAGGAATGGTATATGTGCAAAGCCAATGTTTACTCTTTGAATTATGTAAATGTCATTTGCGGATTGTTTGTGTTTCTCCCCCCCCAAAAAAACAAACCTTTTTGTGTGCGTAGATGTGATTGTTATCTTCTTGCTTCACTGTGAAAGAAAAACTGTTTGATTTGCATTTCTTTGAAAAAAGTTGGTTAATGCAATGCTTATCTAAATACTTATTGTCCCTCTAACAGTTAACCTTTGGACTATGTTTCAAGCTGCTCAAAAACTGGGAGGATATGAAACAGTAAGTGTTTAAGTAACTTAAATGGAAAAAAAATGTGTAATCTAGCTTTCCCCTGTTTAGGGTGGTGTTTCTTTTTCTCAAACACACACAGATACACACACACAGGAAATAACAATGTAGTACACACACACACACACACACACACACACAGTGGGGTTATTGGGTCCTTTTTTAGAAAAAGCCCCAATTAGTTCCAGGTTTGGCAAAACTGTAAACTTGTTGAAGAAGGGAAAAAACACTTCTTGAGTGGAAAACATGTGTAACTCTTCCCTGTCAAGGAAATTGGTTGGGTCTGTAATTTTTTCCCATGTTGAGAAAGGGCTATTCTTGTACAACAAGCCAAGATTGCATAAAATGAAATTTCACTTGGCATAGTCCCTGACATCTGTTCATGTTGGAATATGGGAAATGTATTAAATGCTTTCAAAAGTAATCAGTGTTGTCCATTAAGGAATAGCTTGGTGCAGTATCTTTCTTTACTGTGAATAGTAAAAGATCTTTATTAGACAAGGGTCAGTGCCACATAAACAGGAAGTTATCCAAAGTATAAAAGCAAGGGGGGAGGGAAGCGGAATACTCTGACACTTTTTATCAACTAACCATATCTGACATGGCCACTTTATTTTTAGCTCACAGGGAAATTTGATGGTTGCGGATTTTACAGCATGTATTCCAAACCAATAAAACGTTGGAGCAACAAACTGCGATTAAGATCTTGAAATGAGAAGAAAGAGCTGCTTTAATATGGCATATAAAGATGGCATCTGCAATAAAGCCCATTTGACATAAGACGATCGTCATTGGGAATATTTCCCCAGCCCATAATGCTCAGATTAGGTTGTGCATTTCCTGCTACAGTTGAATGCAAAAAACATATTTAAATAGCTAGCTAGCTAGATATATTTATTTGTTTTGCTTTGTTCACTGAGTATAAATCTGGGCTGCATCTATTCCATAATGAAGTAACAGAGAACACAAAAGCTGAAATTAATTTAAGCTGAAATGTAATCACTCTGGTATTTGTCCCATAGAACAAAGCTTGTTGTGTCATTTTAATGCCTGTGCAGTTAGCTAACATATCTGTGGTTGTGAAATAGTAATCACATACAGGTATTGGTAGCTTTAGTTGACTTTCTTTGGTTTGCATCTGATCTGAGTGCCTGATTCTGTGCTTGTTTACTTGGGAGTTAACCCAACTCTAATTTATTTAAATTTATTCACTACATTGGGTACACCAAATATCTGTTGTTTTCTGAGCAATGTACAGAAAACATCAAAAACTAAATATACTAAAACAACAATAATAAAATTAAAGCAGAACCTCTTATTTAAGCACTAAGGAAGGCTAAAAAAAAGTCTTGCCAATCAGCTGATAATACAAGCATTAAAAGTATTCTTTGAGTTTTGCTTTGAAGTAAGGATGTATAGGATTCCAATGTGCTAACCTTTGGAAAGTTCCGCTTCTGTTACAGTTTTTAGTGTTCAGAGGCTTTATTCATGCAGGAACTATTTACAGTAGAGATGAGAGAGAATAGAAGACATATTTTCTCAACAAGTTGGGAGAGAGAGAAATGGCTCAGCTTTTAGGGTTGGCGTTAACTTAGACAGAGAGTTACAAACAAGTGTTGGCTAGATTGCTAGAGAAGCAGTGCTCTCTTGTGGTTTAAAGTAACATATGCATTAGCTGGAAGCTCATGAGAAGGAAATTTTATTTTATCTCCAACACTTCTGGGCAAATGCTATTAGAAAGTGAAATTAGGCAAGTATGTTAAGTTGGAGCCATCAAGTTAATGACACGTCTTAAATCTTGGCCCTTACATTGTTCCAGATTTTATATTCAAATAAGTGTGCAGTTTACACACAAAAAACAGCACCAAAGTAAGATAAAATATGGAGTAGTGACAAAGAGAAGTCAAGATAGCCTTTGAAGTTATTTCTAACAATCTGGTCATTTGGGGTGCCATCTTACGTAATGTGTTCAATGCAACTTTCTCCCTGAAAGGATTTCTGCCTTAGTCTATTAAAACGGCTAAAAATATTTGTATAAACCCTCTTCCCAGATGTTGCATAACTTGTTAACCTCCATCATGCTTGTCCAATGTAAGACTATAGTTTTCTCCTTAAATGCCACATTCATTGTATTTTTCACACCATATTACAACCTTTGAGCCATTCTTCTTTCCAGTAGAGTGAAACTTACAAATTGAGATTTCATAATGCACAGGATTTAGCAGTTCTGATTTAAGCTTTCATCACTTTGACCAAACTAAGCTTAAGGGGCTGTCTGCCCAGCCAGCAAGCAGTTCGTGTTCTGCTGCAAACAATTCAACTAAAGCAAGCACACGAGAAAGCTTCCCTGATCTGAGCAGGAATGATGAGGCAGAGGATACAGGATGATGATACTAGCACCACTCCTGCATATACACAGATTGAACAAGATTCTGATGCCCATATTTTCCCTTCTGCTTTGCGGCACTCCTACTGTCAGCAACAGCTTTTCAGTGGGGCAGAAGGGGTTCCTAGTTTGAAAGGGTGCCTCTGAAAACCTAGTGCATGTGCAGCCCATTAGTTTCCAGCATAATTCAGATAAGAAGTGTTGGATACACTTCAGCATGTACCTAATAGAGATCCAAGTGACAGATTTGCATTGGTACTCATATACTCCTAATTCACACCCCACATTTGTTTGTTTGTTTGGTTGGTTGATATTCCGTATTTTTCACTCTATAAGACGTACATTTTCCCCTCCAAAAATTAAGGGGAAATGTGTGTGCGTCTTATGGAGCGAATGCAGGCTCCTTGGCTTCAGTGATAGCAATGTGAAGCATCCGAAGCGCAGTGGGAGCGCTCCCGCCGTGCTCCGGAGGCTTCACGTTGCTTTTGCTGAAGCCTGGAAAGCGAGAGGGGTCAGTGCGCACCAACCCCTCTCGCTCTCCAGGCTTCAAAGATAGCCGCCTGAAGTCTCCGGAGTGCAGCGGGAGCTCCCGCTGCGCTCCGGAGGCTTCGGGTTCCTTTCACTGAAGGGTAGGTGCCCCTTCAGCTAAGGCGCAGCGACCCTTCAGCTAAGTGGGAGGAGAAATGGAAGGGGCTCCGTTTCTCCTGCTGCTTCGCTGAAGGGGCGCTGCGCAGAGAGGGGGAGATTTTCTTTTTCTTGTTCTCCCCCTCTAAAACAAGGTGTGTCCTATGGTCGGGTGTGTCCTATAGAGCGAAAAATATGGTATGCTCCTTTCTGTTTGTTATTTAGACGTAAGGGTCAATAATCTTTTGGTGTTGTTGCTTTTACTGAGGCCTTCTCTATGCTAGAAAATTATTGTGGAGTTCTGAATTCAGAACAACATATGCTGGCATGAGCTGCTTAAGAATTCTAGTTGAATTTAGATAGTGTTATCCTTTTGGGAATTATAGTTGTGCATGATAACCTAAATGTCTGAAACAGGGACTGCCAAATGTCTGTAGATGACAGTGGTCCATGATGTCTGATTTATTGCCTCAGGCAGTTGTCCAGCTGTGGGAGTCAAGATGGGGGCTGATAAGTCCAGCTCAGGTTGGCTATTGCCAACTAAACATTGGTTATCTCTTAACTTGAACATGTGAGCTCATTTTCCATTGAATGGATGTGCCACAGGCTGGAGACAGATGTAAAATACAAACAATAGAGAAAAGCGGTTTTTCCTGATGACTCAGAGTAAATGCCTTATTTCCTTCAGAGTTAACATGAAATCAGTGTTTTGGAAGTAATACTGTCACACTGGAGGCATCTCTCCCCCAAAGCCTTTACACTAGATTCAGAATCAGGCTCCTGGGCATCATTCATCATTTTAAATCAAATGATATCTATACTGACACTATTTCCAACAATCTTCTGATTGCCCCCAAGATTCGTTTTTGAATTTGCATTGGCCGTGGAGGTGTTCTCTGTTTCAGAAACCACCCCATTGCACGATCTTAATTGCATACCATCAGCTTGTGTCTGCTTTTTGACTCAACAGATGCTTGCTCTTCAGTGGGGTATCAGGCTACACCTGCAGTTTGTCAGATTTACTTGTACAGAGTTTTGAGGTGCAGTGTGTACATAAGAATTGCCCTAGTTGATCAAGCCAAGTGTCCATAATGCATCTGGTCATGGAGAATCCATTTAGCTATGGATGTCTTGGAGATGCTCTTATGTGGCTACAGCTTTCACTGTCTTGATTAGGCCTATCGTTATGGCGTCACCTGATAAGAGTCATGGGTAGTGGTGAGGAAGTTGACCAGGAACATAATAATAAAAGCAATAAGCTTCAATGAAGGTGTGTTCATTGAAATATTCCCCTGCTGTCAAAATGTTACAATACAGTCAGATCAGAGCTGATCCAGTTCATAGCAAGTTTAAGCTGAGAGAGAGATTTTAATGTAGCTGGAATTGGACGGTAGCGTGTCTATCCCACACCCAAATGGAGGTGAGGGGATGCCAAAAGCTCAATGGTGGCTGACTGTGCTTAGTTGGCATGGAATGCTGATTTGCTTTGGGGAGTGGGGTGGAATGAATCATAGAATCATAGGACTGTAGAGTTGGAAGGGACTGTGCAGGTCATCTAGTCCAAATCCCTGCAATGCATAATTTTTTTTTGCCTAAGGTGGGGCTTAAACCCACAACCCTGGGATTAAGAGTCTCATGCTCCACCATCTGAGCTATGAATGGAATGGCTGGATCCCTGAAGAGTAAAACTACAGATTGCAGTATTTTGTTGGAGGGCCCCACTTATACCATCTTCGTATCTCTCTCTTTCAGAGTTGCCCCTTTTCTGTTTTAATCTGCTGCCATTTAAAACCATCCATATAAGTTTCTTCTTAAAGATGAAAGTAGTGGAGCCTCCCTTGCAGAGCAGGGTAGCTCTAATGGGCTATAACATTTCCCGATTTTAATTAGATCCATCCCAATAAATCTGAGAAAATGCAGAGGTGGTAATAATAATAATAATCCAAAGACATATACTCAGGTGATTCTTTAACACAGTAAATTCCCACCTGTTTCAAACTTGCCCGGATGGCTCTTTGGGGGAAATTTAAATTATAGTAGGCTTTGAACCCATTCTATTCTGTCGTATTCCCTTTTTCTGTGGAGAGACTGAAGCTTTAAGCAAGTCTCAGTTGTTATGATTGAGAGCTACGGCCTCAGAACAAATCTTTAAATAACAAATAGTAAGAGCTGTTCAGCAGTGGAACAGACTCCCACGAGAGGTGGTGGACTCTCCAGCCATGGAGGCAGAGGTTGGATGGCCAGCTGTCATGGATGCTTTGTTGAGATTCCTGCATAGCAGGGGGTTGAACTGGATGACTGTTGGGGTCCCTTCCATTGCTACAGAGACCATGTGCAAATATTGTTGCACCTTTAAGCAGAAACAGAGGGACACACATGAATTAGAACAGATTGTCTTGAATCAAATATCAAAAATGAACATTACAGGTGGTGTTTTCTTTATAGTCTTTTAAGACCAGGTTTCCAGAAGGCACACTTTAATTACTTAAATTTAACCATGGGAAGAATATTGATCACCGAGATCAGGCACGGCCAAACTTGGCCCTCCAGATGTTTTGGGACTACAACTCGCATCATCCCTAGCTAACAGGACCAGTGGTCAGGGATGATGGGAACTATAGTCTCAAAACATCGGGAGGGCCAAGTTTGGCCATGCCTGACCTAGATAAAGTTCACTGTTCTTTGGTGATCGTTGCAGTGGAAACAGGGAAACATTGCAATAACATTGCAATGAATGGGTTACTGTCTGTATTAATATGGGAAGACAGAATATGAGCTTGGCATTTCCATTGCAGCTTCGAGCAAAGATTGCACTGAAGAAGCCTTTTACGATAGAAGGAAAATGACACTTTTATCTAGCAATAAGTTGTCCAAACTTTAAACAACAGTTGGAAGCATACTGCATTTTCCAGTATGAAAGTGAAATTTGTATAGAACAGCTGAGCACAACTTGTGGCCCATCAAACCAAATGGAGCTTGTCAAGTATTAGTAGCTTGGCCTGCCAGGTGTTTGAGACAGTCCATGTTTTTGCAATTCCAGACAAGCGGCAAAGCAGTAAGCTCACTGAGCCCCTGGTGTGATGCTCTACTTGGCTTGTGGGCTGAATTTGACTTGTAGAGTTGCACTGTCTTAGTTTGGAGTGGAATACAGAATAGTCGGAGAGCAGCAGGGGGCAGCGGTAGGGATCCTGACGGTACGTCTGCTCCCCATATCGCACTAACACAAAGGAAAAATGGGGGAAAGACTTTGTTAAAAGGCTGCTAATGGAAGGAAAATCTAGTGTCGATTTGTGAGCAATCATGCCCTAAATATAATGGTGGCAGGGATTTCTGAACTTTCCAGAAAAAAAGTTTGCTTCGTTCATATCCTTTAAGAAGATTATGACATCGGGCGTTAGGCCTTATTTTTAAAAAATTTAAATAAGGCATAGTGTCAAGACTTCCAGGAACTGGGTCTTTCATCACCACGTCAGCATAACTTAGCATAATCACTATGGTAAATAAGTGGTGCTGGCCTATTGATTTCAGAGCAGGCATGACTGCCAAGAGAAACTGAATCTGAATTAGTAAAAAAAGAGAGAAGTGTTCTATTAAACATTTCCACACCTTAAACTGTAATGCTCACAGATGGGGGAGAGGAGCATCCATTCTGTTAAAAGTGTGCATTTACATTCGGGTTATTCACGTTTAACTGAATAAGTGCAGTGAGACCAACCAAACAGCCATTTTCCACCTTGATCTTCAAAACTAGTCATGCTTGGCACAGAATCCAAGACGGGTTGATACTGACTTCCTTGTCACTTCATTTCTCTGAGCCATAGTGGGCCTGAATGAACACTCTCTCATACCTACCGCAAGAGCGATTTCAATCTCCAGGGGTAATCAAAACAAAATGTTCTTGTTCCATGCCTGCGTCTTGGCTAATCTGCCCTGTTGCGCCACTGTGCCCATTTCTGTCTGTGGTGTGTGCATAAATGGGTCTGTAGATCAGCCATCTTGTGTGCACCTCCCCATATGGGAGTCCTGGATTTGCCAGTTTTGCCCCATGCACTCTAGATCTGGTGGGATATTGTGCGCCAGGAGCCCTTGTTTCTTTGCACACAATATCCCCACAGCGTGTGGAGGGAGGATCGTGGGATCCGGGTGTGTGTACATGCCATTTCTACAGTCATTTCAACTCCTTTAAGTTGGAGGGGGGGGGAAACAGCTTTGCAGATAAGTTGTAACTGAATATTTAATTTCCCCACACAGAAGACAGTTTTATCAAGGTTTTAGGTTATTTCATACTACTGATGAACAAATAGGCATTTTTGATTTAATCGGCATCTAGAAGTAGGCGGTGGTTACGTCTAATGAGAATAAAACAAAGATAAGCTTCAAGGATGTTTCTCTGAAATTATAACATTACCAAATAACATGTCTTTTGCTTTTGAAGCTGGGTTTCTGAAAAGGAAGCGTTTTATCTTTATGCAGAGCAGGAAAAGCATCATTTACCCTATAATATTTAACTGCTCCACTCATCTGCTCTTTTTAAGATTAAAATTACAGGCCCCCAGATTGCAAGTTTTGATATTTGTTTTCTTTTGATTGCTGCCTTTGGCTCCTTAGTGAACTTCATCAGCAGCACTGTGGGTAACTGTAAAGAATTCTGTGGGACTCGCTATTAAGCACCACAGCATTCCACAAAAATGACAAAATTCACTCAGAATTTATTTTTAAAACATCTTTTCTAAGCAATTTCCCACAACATGCCCCCCTTTTTAAATTGCATGCAGAAAAAGGTTGACTATTACCATGCTTTGCCTCTCAGGTTCCTGTTTTTCTTCCTGTTAAGACTATAGAAAATAATGAAGTGGAATTCAGAACAATTATTTTGCCAGGTCTTGTATCTATTATTCTTTTGGCCCCATTTTTCTGTGCAACGTTCCTCCCCACCAAAAAAACATAGCTTGCAAGTTAATACTTTATAAGATGTTTATTTTCTTCCATTTAGCCAAATAACTCAGATATTAACATTGGATAGTGTTTAGATTTCACTACCATTTGAACTATATATTTTACTGACGCAGACGGATGAAAATAAACAGCTTGTAACATATAGAGTTACAGGCTGTGAGTCTATGTGGATTTAGGGGAGCCTGTGATGGATTAAGGGTTTGCAATGGATTCGTTTTCACTAACTCAGTTAAAATAACTATGTAATCATTATTTGTGCTTAGTTTGAGATTCATTTTCATAATTTACCAAGGGATTTGTCTGCATACATTTTGATGCTTAATGGCCCTCAATTGATTGAAGTTCCTTTTCAAGAAATCGTACACACAAAATAGCAAAATTGCTTGATAATGAGACAGCAGTAAAACCCAATTGTACAAAAAAAAGAAAAGGTTTATGTGAAGCAAATGTGAAAAATGTCTCTCTCTCTCTTTTGCTTTTAAAAGAGCCATAGATACATATTCAATCCGTTCTAGAGGGGATTTAACAGTCCTTGTAGTACATGCGTTCTAAATGTCTCACATATACATTTGTTGCTGTGAATTCAAACGCTGCACACACACAAATATCTGTAAAGATGCAAGATTAAATTTTCCATTGCCACTTTTACAGATAACAGCCCGCCGACAATGGAAACATATTTATGATGAATTAGGTGGTAACCCTGGGAGCACAAGTGCAGCCACGTGTACTCGTAGACATTATGAAAGGTAAGATAACAAATATGAAATGCTTGTTTAATAAAAGAGAAAAATTAATTTGAAGGGACTTCAAAGCCTTTTGTAAAGAAATGGGGGCAGAGGGGGGGGGAGAGGCAAGAAGGCCTCTTACAAAAGGCACAGTAAATATTCCATCACCAGTTTAGTCCTGTAATATGCTGTAATTTAAACCAGTGTGTGTCTCCGATTGCAAAGCAAATAAATCGGGGGATCTGATTCCTTTCTTCTTCATACCTTGTTTTACCAAAGCTTCTATAATATAGAAGCTGTAACTGATGAGCAAAACAGATGATAGTTTGATGATGGACAAAATGATCATATCTTAACTGCTTTGGCTGGTTTTTTGTTGTTTGTTTTTTTGTCTTTTAAAAACCACTCTGCAGATAAATGCAAATAAAGCAATGTATGGCTGTCTTCAGATTAGTGGGATGTTCCCATTATAAGTCACGGGGGGAAAACATTTCTTCCATATTCCTTTAATGTTTTCTTCTCTCCTTTCTTCTTGCAGCTGACAACCATTTATCTTTCTAAAGTGCAGCAGAGTTGCTGTTTTATAAACATTGATTTTGTACCCTTTCTGAGTTAATAATAGTTTCCAAAGGTTGGGTATCCAGCGTACATCGGATAACATGATACGGTTGTGATGCTTCCTTAAAAGAATTTTGAGAAAATACAGCCATTAATAAAATATGTGTGCTTTCAAGCTCTGAAATGAGCAATATGATCTCATGCTCCAGATCACTAACTAGTTTCCTGTAGGGGCCAAGAGAGTGTTTGTTTATCACCATCTTACAGCATTGCAATGCTTTTTTGACATACGTTGAACATACGTGTCTTTTCTAAAGTGTTAACTGCTAGCCAGACTGAAAGAAGTGAGGTGCCAGCCATATTCTGTATAGGACTATTGTTCACTTTAACTTCCAGAATGAAAATCTGGTTAGTTTTACAGGTAGGTAAGTAAATGTCTTCTAGCGTGGGAGCTTGGATGGAACCTTACAAATTATGGACAATCCACATTAAGAGTTGGCTGTTCTCAGTTGATCCCACTGAATAATATGAGTCAAAGTAAACAGGCTCTTTGGATCATAGCCAGTGAGCACAGTTTAGAGAATTTTAGTTTAGGCAAGTCCCATTAAATCCCATGGAGGTTAGCTGGTTCCTTGTCACCTTGATTTCCGTGAGATTTTGCCTCGCTTGGGAGGCAAAGAAAATGGCTTGGGAGAAAAAGAACATTGTGTGGTATCCAACTAAGTCATACTCAAGGGTAGACCCATTGAAATCAATGGACTCGACTAATTTAAGTGCATTAATTAAAATTTGTCTATAACTCAATTGCATACAAACCGCCTTTAGTAATCTCCCTATACAGGAGAGGCAGTGTTAGTGCCCACATGGAAGGTGACTGCTGTGAGGGACATTTGAGTGTAGTCTCCATTTCAGGATCAAGCGACAAGTTGTGTTAAGCACATTTTTAAAAAAAGCATGCTTCATTGGCCACCTAGTTTTCTAGAAAAAGCAGCTACGTGGAGAGCAACTTCAGAGGCAAATAGTAGCCAAGGTGTCGATGTCACCCTGATGTTTGGCCCCGTTCCAGATTGTGGCCTTGATTGTTTTTTTCTGGAAGAAGAAAAGTGGCCATGGAAACACACTTTTGTGGTTTTAATGCAATCTTTGTTACTCATTGCAAATCAGTGCTGGTGTAGATAGGCGGAGGAAGGGTTGATTGGTCCAAATACCCTCTCACCCCCTAATAGATAATGAGTGGAGCATGAATTACCCTTGATCATGCCAGGATGCGTTTGTGGGGCAAAGGTTGTCTGGCCATGCCTAGAATTCTTTCTCCCAAACTTTGGCGCTTCTGTTCTTGTTACTCATGCTTCTGTTCTCTTGCTGTGTGAGAACTGGGAGCAAAGAAGTGGGCTTGTTGGTGCTGTTGCTTCTGTGAATTGGACCCTACCTTTCTCAGACAGGAATATTAACTTTACAGGTGGACGTTTTCTGGCTTCTTGATGTCTCTTGGTTTCTGCTCCCCCCCTCCCCCCATCAACAGAAGTTTGCATTTCGGCAGGTTTTCCTAAAGTGGTAGCAAAGTAAGCTGCAGTTTTCACACTTCAGTTAAGCAGCATAAGGCCTACTTTGTAGATGAGACCGGATTTAAAATGTAATAGAAAATTTGGAAAGAAATTTGGAAATTGGGAGGCCTTGCCTAGCAACGTTAGATGGCATTTTGCAAAACGTTTTGAATAAACTATTACAAAGAAAGGCCATTGAATCCATTTGTCTAGGTTGCAGAACTGTTCTTTTTCAATGAAAGCAGTTGTAAACAAACAAAATTGGCAGAAGTTGACTGGCACCTAAAAACCGTATTAGCAGTTGAGTTGCAGTTGACACAGTTTTCTGCAGGTTTGATTTATCCGTTAGTAACAATTTGGACTAGATAGGAACAGTACTGTGGCTCAAGCATGCTTTGCACGCCCCATATCTCACGTGTAATCCATGCTGTTTTTAACAAATGGATAGAAGGATATCTCAGTTGGTAGAGCATGAGACCCTTATCCTCAGGGTTGTGGGTTAGAGCCCCATGCTCAGCGAAAGATTCCTGCATTGCAGGGGGTTGGACCAGATGATCTTCATGATTCTATGATCTCAGGTGTCAGGACCAGGAAGGATGTCTGCCTGAGATGCTGAAGAGCTGCTACTAGTAGAAAATGACAGTGACAGGGAAGATGGTCTGACATGAAAAAGCGCTCTCTGTGGGCTCCCCTTTCAAAAATCAGTGTGTGTTTCCCCTTTCAAATAAAGAAGGGCTAAGCATGATTTAAAAGGGACGCGGGTGGCGCTGTGGGTAAAACCTCAGTGCCTAGGACTTGCCGATCGCATGGTCGGCGGTTCGAATCCCCGCGGCGGGGTGAACCCCTGTCGTTCGGTCCCAGCTCCTGCCCACCTAGCAGTTCGAAAGCACCCCTAAGTGCAAGTAGATAAATAGGTACCGCTTTATAGCGGGAAGGTAAACGGCGTTTCCGTGTGCTGCGCTGGTGCCGGCTCGCCAGTTGCAGCTTCGTCACGCTGGCCACGTGACCCGAGCGAGATGAGCGCGCAACCCTAGAGTCGGACACAACTGGCCCGTACGGGCAGGGGTACCTTTACCTTTAAGCATGATTTCAGTGTGTTATTGACATATTTGGTTTTTTTAATTGCAAGTAGCTCACTTCCAGTAAACATTTTCATTTTTAAAACAAAGTGTTGTTGCCAGTGGGTTCACTAAGTGTTATTTTGGATATGCATTCTAAGCGTCCTTTTGCCTTATTAATGAGTGCAATAATGCAAGGGCTGGTTGCTTTGAGCCGAGAATCAATGGATGTTTTTATTTAAAGCATAGCAGGAATCGTATAATGCCCATGAATGCATTATTGTCGCTGTAGGGCTGGCTGGTCTAAACCTGCCTCTCTGATTGGCTTAAATCAAATCAGTCCAAGCACTTCATAAAAATGTCCTTGTCAGCCCAGTTTGGCTTGCAAACCTATTCATCTCTGTCAGTTTTTAATATTAGTACCAGCTCTTGGCAATAGTCCATTAGTACTGTACTTAATTGCTCATGTTACAGATGATTACCAATATAAAAAGCATTAATGTTTTCCCATTGTGGAGCTGTTGCTATGTACGTGACTCAACACATACAAAGTGTGCAAGTTGTTATTTTGATCAGGAGGCTACAGTTCTTGTAGAATTACAGTGGCTGATCACATAAAGTAAAGACAGCATGGCCTGCCTTTAGTACTGCAAAAACACAAACCTGGATTTCTGATTTGTGCGCTGTCAAGATCCTGCATTTCTCTGTTAGGTCATCTGGGATTTAGAAATCATTGAAAATGGTCAGTTTTCTCATAGAACCGTGTTATTTGCAATGTGTTCTAAGGATATTGATATCAGATCAGATGCAGTTTTCACTCAGTGCCAGTTAAAGTGAGTCAGGGGTTTGTTTGTTTGTTTGTTTGTTTGTTTGTTTGTTTGTTTTTCAGCCCTGCACAAAATACGCAATGGATGATTTTTGTTTCCCTGAGTAAATAGACATGATGCTGTAAATGAGCAGGAAGTTGTGGTTTTTGTTAGGGAACTAACTCTCCCTCTCCCTCCCTCTCTCTCTCTCTTCATGATGTGTTTGTGACCTCACATTTCCTAAACAAAATGTAATTACAGTGGTACCTCGCAAGACGAATGCCTCACAAGACAAAAAACTCGCAAGACGAAAGGGGTTTTGGTTTTTTGAGTTGCTTCACAAGACAATTTTCCCTATGGGCTTGCTTCGCAAGACGGAAACGTCTTGCAAGTTTGTTTCCTTTTTCTTAACACCGTTAATACAGTTGCAACTTGACTTCGAGGAGCAACTCATACCACGCGGTGTGGTAGCCTTTTTTGAGGTTTTTGAAGACTTTGGTGACTTTTGAAGCTTTTCCAAAACTTTTCCGAAACCATGCTTCGCAAGACGAAAAAAATCGCAAGACGAAAAAACTCGCGGAACGAATTACTTTCGTCTTGCGAGGCACCACTGTAAAAAGGAAACAGACTACACATTAAGGTTATGTGTTCTTCTATAAATTGTCTGTCCAGGAAGGTCCACTCCTCACACCCTTGACTGATTGTGTATTCCCTTCCAGAGAAGTAAATCTGAAAAGTTGTAACTCCACCTGACAGGGAGTATTGAGATTACTACTAGAGATGCCAAAGCTCAAGAATGGTTTAAGGAAAGCTAGTAAACACACGCACAAAGAAACACACCCACCACACACATCTCTACAACATAGGCACATCCATGTACAGTATTAGATGCTCTTTCTTTTTCTATCCTAGGATAGTTAAAATGTATGAAAGGTGAATCTCAAAACCCATTTGAGCCATTTTCCTGGCAGCAGACGCCCAATAGACTGCCACCCCTCCGTTTCTGGTTGGAGAAACTCACAGAGTTATCTCCCATTGAGAACAAAAATGTAGTT